TTTTCATGTTTCTGTGGAGTTTGTAGCTGCCCGCTGCACCCTCTTGTTGCTACCATTTGACTAGGCTGTTTTGCTTTTCCCGCATCTCCTTGCCTTAATTTGGAAATCTGCTCTCTCCTTCTGTCTTCTTCCTTCCTCCTGCTTCTGTTTTGCTTAGGAAGGTTGATTTTGCTTCTATTCATAATTCTGTTACAGGTATTGACATTTAAACTTTTTTTTTACCTCTTTATTGTTTGAAAGCTGAAGAGGGTTTTTCTGTCCTTTTAGTGGTTATCATTAAAAGTTTAACTTGAACACCTAATTTTTAGTCTAAAGTTTATCAGTCTCTTTACTCTTCTGTCAAGCAGCACCAGATAGAATGATTTAAGCAGAATTACTCTTTCTTGTCTTTCATGGATGTGTTGTTTAGGATTTATAGTTTCATCTCTTTATCTCTTATAATTACCATTTTTGTTACACATTAAGATTTGTTTTGATGCAGTACTTATTTGCTGAATTCTTTGCTCAGTATTTCTGCTTTTTACCTTATTTCTTTATCCTGGAATTCTTTTTCATCTTTAAGGACACATTTTAGAAGTCCGTTGAAGATGTATTGATGGGAATTATTTGTTTTTATTCATCAGAAAATGCTTTTTTTCCCCCTCTTTTTCTTGTATGTTTAGGTTTGAATAAAACTTAGGTTCATTTATTTTCTTTTCTCAGAATTGTTAAGTTAGTATCAAACTTCTGCTGTCTGTTACTGTTGAGAATTTAGGTGTTGTATGTTTACTTACATATTTACCCTTTCTGATGTTGCTTATCCCTTTCTGAAGTTCTGGATTTTTGTGTGATACTATTTCCCTTCAATCTGAGGAAGTTGTATTAGCTTTTATTGTTGCACTAGTCTGTTAGAGGCAGATTCTCTCAGCTGTTGTCATTTTTAAATGTGTTTATATTCCTAAAATTGCTAAAGCTTATTTTCATGGGATACAGAATTGGCAGTCTTTTTCTTCCAGCACTTTAAAGTTGTTTCTGTTTGTTTTCTGGGATCTCTTACTTCTGGTGAGAGTTCACCTGTCATTTATTTATTTTCCCCTTTAAGTTATATGCTTTTTTTGTCTGCTTTCAAGATTCTTGTCTTTATTTCATTGTTCAAAAGTGTGATTATGATATACCTTGTTGTGACTTTTGAAATCGATTCTACTTGAGGTTCACTGTTTCTTGAATTTGTTAGTTGATATCATTTACCAGCTTTAGAAAGTTCTCAGCTCTTGTCTCAGCAGATACTTCTCCACCCCATTCAAATCCCATTTCCTTCTGGTACGCCAGTTGTACATGTTGCTTGTCTCAGAGATCTCAAGTATACTGTTATTGATGGATTGATCATTCTTTTTTTCCTCTCTCTCGGCTTGGATACATTCTGTTGATCTGTTTTCAAGTTCAGTAATTCTTTCATCTGCTATGTTCAGTTTGTTATTAATATCTGACATCATAGTTTTTATTTGAAGCATTTTATTTTGAATATATTTGTAGATTAGTCTCTGCTAGAATTCTGTGTATTCTTATTTTCTTACATAGTATCTTTTCAAACTAAATTTTAGAATTTCTACCATAATTAATTTAAATTCTTTTTATTTCAATATCTGGGGCATTTCTGTGTCTGTCCCTTAGGTTATGTCCTCTGTTGACCATGGATCACAATTTTCTGCTTCCATGTATATTTTGTAATTTTTTTATGCCAAATATGTTATATAAGAGATAGTAGAGACTAAAATCAATAATTTTTGCCTCCAGGAATGGGCTTATCCCTTCTTCTTCCATTCTGTTAGATTCTTGTATTAGATTGTGTTAGTCATGTTTGAAGTGGGCAGGGTCAAGCTGATCTGTGGTTGATAAAGACCTTGTGGTGGTGATGTGGTGTTCAGTCATTCCGTTGTGTCCAACTCTTTGTGACCCCATGGATTGTAGCCCGCCATGCTTCTGTGTCCATGGGATTTCCCAGGCAATAATACTGGAGTGGGTTGGCATTTCCTCCTCCAGGGGATCTTCCCAATGCAGGGATCGAACCTGAGTCTCCTGCATCTCCCGCATTGGCAGGCGCGTTCTTTACCAGTGAGCCACCTGGGAAGCCTGATATAGACCTGGCCCTTGGCAACTTTGCTTTGCTTTTGTTCATCGTTACTTCTAGGTATTCTGAGTATAAGTTCAGGAGGTTTTTGTTTGTTTGTTTAAGCAGGGAAGATTGAAAATTGTTGAGGTCTGTTTGTGCTCCGCTGTGAAGCCAGCCGTTTTCTGAACTGAGGGAGAGCAGCCCCTCTGGTTCTAGTTCCCTTTGCCCTCCAGCTCTTTCGGGCTCCCCTTGCCCTCATTCTAGTGTGGAGCTGCCTATGCTCTTCATGCAGCGTTGCCCCAGCGGGGTTTCTCTCAGCTTTTCTATGCCCCTCCGGTCTCTCCTTACTAAATGTTCCAGGGGCTCAGCTTTCTTGCCCTCTCCATCTCCAGTGCTCAGCTGTCTTGTGCTTGGGGAGGCTCTACACACGTCACACACAGCTTCATCTCTCTCAGTTCTCCCGCGCTCCCCCTGGCCCAGCTTTGGTGTGTTGATCTACTTGTTGATACCCGAACACCTGTGGGAGTCACTTGCTGGGTGCCCAGGTCTGACTGTCTGCCGCACAGGGGTCTTTGGAATTTTAGTGCCTCACTCCAGTCCACAGGCAGTCATCTGAGGTTTGGCTGGTTTCTCCCTGCCCTGTCTAAGGCGGGTTCCTCATCCTCCAGCATCCTTGCCAGGCATCCAAGCACATCCATAGGAATCTCTTCTATCTCAGGAAAGTCTTGTCGTCACTGTTTGCAACTTAGCTTGTGTAGGTTTCTTTTCAATTTTTAAGGAACTCATTTTGGAGTTAATCTGGCTAGTTTTGGCTAGTGTGAGAATGATTGTTATCTTCCAGATTTCTTCTACTTAATACCAGGAGTTTGGTTTTTCTTTTTTTAATACTTTCAGTGATATTCCTTTCAAAGTAGAAAATATATTCTCGTCAACTTTATTTTCTTATAATATTAACTATAATGATAGGTAATGATTGCTAAGTGCTTACTGAGTGCCATGCACCTTGGTGAACACTTTATTTTTTTAATTTTTATTTTTTTAGTGTATACAACTAAAAATATTTTATTGCCATTAGAGAATTGTATTTATATTTCTGACAATTTTATTTTATTTATTTATTTTTTATTAGTTGGAGGCTAATTACTTTACAATATTGTAGTGGTTTTTGTCATACATTGACATGAATCAGCCGTGGATATACATGTATTCCCCATCCCGATCCCCCCTCTCACCTCCCTCTCCACCCGATCCCTCTGGGTCTTCCCAGTGCACCAGGTCCAAGCACTTGTCTCATGCATCCAACCTGGGCTGGTGACCTGTTTCACCCTAGATAATATACATGTTTCGATGCTGTTCTCTTGAAACATCCCACCCTCGCCTTCTCCCACAGAGTCCAAAAGTCTGTTCTATACATCTCTGTCTCTTTTTCTGTTTTGCATATAGGGTTATCGTTACCATCTTTCTAAATTCCATATATATGTTATGTGTTAGTATACTGTAATGGTCTTTATCTTTCTGGCTTACTTCACTCTGTATAATGGGCTCCAGTTTCATCCATCTCATTATAACTGATTCAGATGAATTCTTTTTAATGGCTGAGTAATATTCCATGGTGTATATGTACCACAGCTTCTTTATCCATTCCTCTGCTGATGGGCATCTAGGTTGCTTCCATGTCCTGGCTATGAAAAAAATATGGAACGCTTCATGAATTTGCATGTCATACTTGCGCAGGGGCCATGTTAATCTTCTCTGTATCGTTCCATTTTTAGTATATGTGCTGCCAAAGCGAGCACCCTTGGTGAACACTTTAAATGCATTATCTCATTTGCACAGACTTGAAAATGGGTGTTATTGTATCATTCCCATTTTCCAGATGTGAGAGTAGGTAGGTAGGTTAACATTATGTAACCAGTTAGTGGTACTTTTGAACTCACGGTTGTCTGTATCTGGAGCTGAGTTTGCAAATTCACATCCCTAGATGGAACAGATGTGTGAGTGAATGAGTGAAGTGAGTACAGTATAAAAAAATAACAAAGCAAGTAGCATGATGAGTGGTAATTAACATTCCACCTAGATATCAACAGAAAATAAATCAGTAATTGCTTCTGCGACAAAGTCTCTGGGAGAATACAGGCCTCATTCAAAGGGATGGTCACTTCTCAGCTCCAGCCAGTTGTTGCCCATGTGAGAATATGGGTCCAATAGTTCAGAGGTTCAGATTTTTCAATAGGAGCCAGAAATTTGTATTTTTTCATATGAAATCGTTCAGTTTCTAAATGCTAGCTGTGGTTCAAATAAAAATAAAATAAAATCCAGTGTGCAGACCTACATGATGAGTCTGAAATAAAACATGTCTGTAGGCCCAGCCTGTTCCCTGGGCAGCCAGTATGCAGTCCCTGTAATGGACCCTTTGCTCTCTGAGACCACTGGTCATACTGTCTTTTGGGGCCCACTTGAACTTCCTTCCATATTTGTGCTATACATCAAGGACATGAAAGCCTACTATAGAACGAATGTACTATTTTATTTTTTACTGCCATTCTGCAATTGTGCTTGTGTAGATGCATGCCACAAAGACAATTTTTAGGATCATTTTTATTTATTTATTTTTTTAGGTTGTACTTTATATTGGAGTATAGTTGATTTACATCTTACGTTAGCTTCAGGCGTACAGCAAAATGATTCTGTTATGCATATTCATGTAGCTATTCTTTTTCAAGTAGAAACATTCTTTAAAAATCCTGACTTCTTCGTTTTATCTATCTGCTTTAAGCAATAAAGTTCTAACATAAGGCATATGTTACATTAAATTGATGTGAGGGCCCAAGTATCACTGAATGCGGATTATATTCTGGCTCATTAATCATGACTTTCTTTCCCTCTCTTTTACCCTTTCTGCTCAACACAGCTTTCACTTTCAGAAGAACAGAATGAAGTAACAAAAAACGGCTGCGAGCCTACAGAGCTGGTCTACCTCGTGCACGTTGCTTGTCAGGTAATGTTGCGGGTGGTTCTCCATGTCACATAAAATGTAATAGGAATTACATACAAATCAATAGCATTGAATGAATAAATATGAACAAATAACATGGACTATGGTAACACAGGGATTTTATTTTATTCTTTCTTCCAGTTATATTGGCATTTCTGCATGTACTCAGAGTTGAAACAATCAATAGAGTCCATTAAATAGATATTTATTTTACAAACTTGAAAATTCTTATAAATTTTCTTGTAAAGGAAACATATCCTCTATTGACGAGATTAAATGGTTCAGCTACTGCTTGCGTATTACAATTAAGAGAACAGACCAAATAGTGCCTGCCTCAGAGGCACATTTTTCTAACCAAGACTTTAAGTTCCACTGTGGTATAACAGTAGGATGTGTATATGTTTTAGAAGTGTGCTCTTTCTTAACTCTCAGTGTTAGAACTTTTTTGAGGCTTATTAGTGTGACTCGCTCTTAATGAGATTTCAAATATGTCACTTGTGACATCGATTATTTCCTCCATCAAGTAAGCAGTTCCTTGATTTATTCTTTGTTCATTGAGCCATCTTGCCTGTCTTTGAATTAGTCATTGTAAAGTAAGTGTTTTCGAGGAAACCTTTCTTATGTACAAACTTTTCAGTTTGCTTTGAAAGAGAGTAAGGTAAGGAATTTACATGTTTTTTTCCAAAAAAGTATTATTCATGTACCTGAAGTTAAAAATTAAATAATCTGGAAAATGGCTATTTCATATGGGAAATACTAAGTTCCTAGTCTTGATGTGACTTTTAAGGGCAAACCTTTCAGAATTAAGTGCTTTTATTTGTAGGTGAGAGAATATGAGGTTAGAAATTGAACTTAGCTTATATATATATCTTCTAAGTTTTATACTGTTTATACATGTTTTATTATATGTCATCTTGGTTCCTCTGAAGAAGTGGGCAGCTCTGAATCTGTGTTTCATGTCATATTTCATAAAAATGCTTTTACTTAGTGAGTTAATCTTTACATGAAAATATCCAGTGCTTTCATGATGAACCATTAACAGTTGATTAGAAAGCATTTCTTCATTATCTAGAGTACATGATTGGCATGTCAGTCATGAACTTCTTATCCCATCAAAAATCTAAATCTTTTAGTGCCTTCTCTTCTTAGCAGTGATTTCCATTTGTTCCGACAGTGCAAATATTTTTATTCTTTCTCATAAGCAAAACATGTCAAAAATACCCATGCTGTCTGTAAAACATGACCTTCAAAAGGTAAGCGTGGCATTTTGCTACCATACATTAGAATGTGTAATCGTTACTTGATTATACCTCCGTGAAGTAGTGACCTAGATAGTTAGGCTTTTTCATGGTTGTAAGTATCTTGTCAAGCTGCTTAAAAAATTTCAGACTGCTTGTTATGTTTTTATTACATCAAGGTAGTAATTTACTGCATTGTAATAATGCTGTCATGTTTCTCCTCTGCCTCCTCACTGGAAGTAATTGTTGATACTTTCTCATTGCTTGCCTTCTGTATTCTTGCCATATATATCATCCATAAACCATAATAGACCAAAGTCATTTTTTATAGCCAAGATAGACTCAAAACCAAACCTTCTAATTTTGCAGATGAGGAAATTGAGGCCCAAATTATGAAAGTTGCTTTCCTAAGCTATATGAAATCTTAGCTGGAGCTCCTAAGGACTTCAGTTTCCTGATTGCTAGCTTTTCTTACATCTCCTGGGAATTTGCAATATACAACAGATTTTAGAAATTGTATTATCTTCAAATGAGATGTGATCACCTCTATTCCTTGTAATCTATTCATTATAGAAGCTAATTGCATATTTCATATCTTTGCTAAATTTTTAATAATGTGCACTTGAAATTTATTTTTATTTAACCAAAATTCTTGGTCCTTCCTTTTTAACACACTTTCTTCCCCAGTTCTTTTTTCTTAGAAAGTGTCCAGTTAAACAACTGAGATCATTTCCCTTTCTGTAGGCTGTGGGGTATTAAGGTTACATTTGAATCTTGTAAGGTGTCTTTGCCTCTGCCTCTTAAAGCTTTAATTTCTTTTTAAATTGTGAACCCAGAAATGTAAACCGTGTGTCCCATACTGCATAGATCCAAATTCAGTAGGCATTTTTTGATCTCTTGTATGTCTGGTACACAAATACTATGGCATACAGAGTATCATTTAATCTTAAAACATCTCTGTGAGGCAAATGGTCTGGTTTCCATCTTACAGATGATGAATGTAAGACTAAAGAATGTCAGTAATTTCCCCACGGTCATGAAATTAAAGACCAGGATTTGAACCTCAGTCTTGTGGTTTTGTTCTGTTTTTCCATCGTAATTCTAGTTTTATTTATGGTTAGTTGGCCACTCTGAAGTCTGCAGGCATAGTCTGATGTTATTAAAGAATTAGAGAAATACATCAACGCTAATAATCTAGTTTCTTTGCATGACTTCAGTGGACAGGACCTGGATAGCATTCATATATGTAAACATGTATCTTCTGTCTACCTTCCTCTATAAAACTTTAAGTGGAAGCCTCTGAAAGTCTAGGTTAACTGGCTGCAACCCTAGGCCAATAGTCTGTATGTGTTAGTTGCTCAGTTGTGTCCAACTCTTTGTGATCCTATGGACTATAGGCCACTAGGCTCCTCTGTCCATGGGGATTCTCCAGGAAAGAATACTGGAGTGGGTTGCCATTTCCTCCTCCAAGGCATCTTCCCAATCTAGGGATCGAACCCTGGTCTCCTGCATTACAGGCAGATTCTTTACCATCTGAGGCACAGGGAAGCCCAATAGACTGTATAATCTGGGCAATAAAAAGGGGACAACATAAGATGAGATGGTTGGATGATATCACTGACTCGATGGACATGAATTTGAGCAAGCTCTGGGAGTTGGTGATGGACAGGGAAGCCTGGCGTGCAGTAGTCCATGGGGTTGCAAAGAGTCGGACACAACTGAGCTACTGAACTGAACGGATAAAAATATTTCCTAGCTGGTATACTGGGCCAAAAGCAGTTGGAGCAGATACCTGTCACTCAGATCTCATTCAGCCATATCCATGTATCTCAGCTGAACGTTAACCATGGACAAAGCAACTTTCTCAAATGCCTTGGAGATAGGTCTGCATAATGCCCTGACTGAGCTCTCAAAGCTCTCCCTCTCCTACTGATCATTATTTAGAATAAGTTGTCTTGACCAATATAGCCATGTGCCTTACGTGTTCCTTCCTTCATGTTTTAATTCTTTTCTCCAAGGAAACAGACTTGAGGGTGGGGGTAGGGAAGTGTTACATGGAACAAACAGATGAAGAAACAAGTGTGAATGAAGAAACACTCTTCTGAGTTTGTATCATGATATTGATCTGAATGGGAACACTTTCTTTTCTGCAAAGCATACTAATTTTTCCTCTGTGTATTCCTTGCTTTTCAGGAAATATGTATTTAGTTTGAAATCAATGAAAATTAATAAAAATCCTAGGATATTCAAGAACAGGTCCAAGTAGATATGGAAAAACCTTTAATGTCTCAACTATTGAAACTTCAATAATTAGAAAAAAACAAAATTAGATAAACCTTGACACTAATTACCTTGAGCCCCATTACATAGAATAAAGCAGTGTATTGTCAGTGGTAGCGAATCTTAAAAGCGCTTTGTATTCTATTATTTATTCACTAGCAAATAAGCAGATATCAGTTTTTAAGTGTTAACTTTAAAATAACTCATTTAAACCTAGCTATTGTAAGAATTTAATCTGATATGTGCCCTGATGAAAATTGTGTCTGATCCTACCCCCTCTAAGTGTAGTTTTATTAGTTTAAGAAAAATTGTTTCTTAATATTTTATTGTCCCATAGTAAGCTTTAGAGTAGTTGAAATGAATGGTTCTTATTGAAGTTGGATTTTATGAACCACCTTTTTATTTTAACCAAAATTCATCAATGTATAATAACTCATTTTTCCTGAAGTGTTTTGTAAATATTTACAATACCATGAAGCCTTTTTTAATGTCCCAGTTGATGGAATAAACAGTTGCTTGTAGGGGAATGCTTTTCTGCCTCAAAATATCTCCTGTACTCTGATGCTTGAAATTCCACCATCAGCAGTGCATTCCTCAGTATTAAATATCTCCTCCACTTGGTCCATTTAGCATATGCTGTTACTAAGGGGATGGAGTTGATTATTAATGTTTGAAGAGCACCTGTATATGGACACAGTGTATAAGCAGATGGCAAACTTCTTACTTAAGTGTGAAAACTTTTTTATTAAATTTAGGTGTTAACTATTCCCATTATGTGCTTGGTCACTCAGTCATTTCCAACTCTTTGCAACCCCATGTACTGTAGCCTGCCAGGCTCCTCTGTCCACAGGGATTCTCTAGGCAAGAATACTGGAGTGGGTTGCCATGTCCTCATCCATGGAATCTTCCCAACCCAGGGATCAAACCCAGGTTTCCTGCATTGCAGGTGGATTCTTTACCATCTGAGCCACCAGGGAAGCCCATTCCCATTGTATAGAAGAATAAACTGTCACTCGTAGGTGTCAAGTAACTTGTGTAAAGTCCCCTGTTCAGGATAAGGTCAACCTGAGATTTAAATCAGGTCTTTCTTTTTACTGAACTTCATCATGCATACAGTTAATTCATAGTATTAATTCTGTTGCATGATAAACGTTCTCATGATTAAGGGTCTTCAAAGGACATGGGTGAATACTGTTCTTCTCAGAAAGAACTGCAAATATATATTATAGATTGGTTTAAAGGTCCATATAGTTAAAGCTATGACTTTTTCATTAGTCATGTACGAATGTGGGAGTTGGACCTTAAAGAAGGCTGAGCGCTGAAGAATTGATGCTTTTGAACTGTGGTGCTGGAGAAGACTCCTGAGAGTCTCTTGGGTAGCAAGGAGATCAAACCAATCAATCCTAAAGGAAATTAACCCTGAGTATTCATTGAAATGACTGATGCTGAAGCTGAAGCTCTAATACTTTGGCTACCTGATGTGAA